AAACGTAATAATAGAGATGAATTGAGAGTAAAAAAAGGCTCGGAAAATTATCAGCCAAAGGGCTCAAGAAAAGTAATTGTATAGATAAACACATACATAGATGTCTCTCATCTTTGTGACTATATTGTTACGTTCTGTATCATCGCTACAATTTCAAAGAACAGAATCTGAACGAATTAATGTTTATAAATCCATATACCCGTACCTACTAAATGATAACTTTTACAAAAGTTTGCATATTTGTCTTAAAAATACCTGAGTGTAAATAATTTTTTATCTATCATCATAATTAATAAATATAACGGAGCTGCCTCTTCTTCTATCTTTTAAGCCATTCTGCATGTGAGTCTATGTACGTTTGTTAAATAAACAAACCAAAGCCAACGTAGACGTGATATCTTTTGAAGGGTAAAGTAAAAATAGTACTGTGTTTTATGTTTGTATAAATAATACCAACTCTACCAACAATACCTGCCATTAGCTGACATATTTTGTTTTATATTTTTGTACATCATTACGTTGATTCATATTATATTATAATATGTATTCATTATCATAATTCAAGGTATTGTATACATACCTACCTATAATTTCTTACAATATAATGTAAGTATTGTTACTACCCTTTTGACCATCCCACTGCTGGGCGTGGGCCTCCAAATACGAAGGAGGTCAGTCCACAGTTTACCACACTGACCAAGGACTTCACATGTCTTTTGAAAGCTTGTTAGGTTCTTTCAGATATGCAGATTCCCTCACAATGTTTTTCTTCACCAAGTATAAGACAAATGGTAAATACGTATGTTAGAAATGATTCGCACATGAAAATATCAGAGGTGCGAGATTTGAACCCGCTTCACTTGGTTTCTCAAGTGATTGCGTTACCACTAGACTGCCACTGTCTAATACGTATAATAAATAGAATTATATAAATCTGTCTTCTCTTTACAGCATGTATAGAAAAAGACAATAAAGTAAGATAAGGATATAGGGATTAGTCACTATTTAATACCTTTACATCCGTTGTAGGCCGGATAGTAATATACTAATTGTAGGTTACTTTTTATCCTATTATATCAAACGTTTACCGTGGTATTAGTCTGACCCATAGAGTTGTTATCTAGTATTATTTATTACCAATGTTCTAATTGTTGTAATTATGTATGTTAGCTTAAAAATATGTTTTATTCAAATTAATAGCAAATTAAATATAAATGAACTTGTACTGAAAAAAAGACAATTTATTAAAAATAACAACAAAAATGACATTATACTTTCTTAGATTTACGCGAATATTTGACATTTTAAATAAAACTATCTTTTCGGATTTTGTCGCGGATTTATTTGCATTTTTGTTTCCCGACGTTTCGAATGCTTTACAGTATCCATGGTCACGGGAGAGTCTCTCCCGAAAAGATTACATTTTTTATTACATTAAAATAGTATTATTGTTCAGCTCTGAACAGCTATTTTTTTTAGTTTGTTAAAATGGAGATACAATTCTATTAAAAATATTTGTATTTCATATAGGTAAAAGAGCAAATATACAGATACATAATACGGCTATGATAATTTACTACATAAGGCAGGTACTTATGTCATTAGTGTATTATATACTACCCACCTGAACCCCATTAGTCAGTGTGATAATACCTTCAGCAATACACATGACATTTGAAGTTAAATAATATATTTAATCAAAAATTAAATTAGAAATATTTATTTTGGTAAGAAATCAAAATTGGTAAATTGTATGTAAGAGCGCATATACCATGTGGTAGGATATTTAATTTTACAAGTTTTTATTAACTTCTCCTATCCGGGTCTGTGTAATGGAATCTTGCAAGTAAAAACCCACTTCCCAGTGTCCGATTGAGCTGAAATTTGGCACACTAGTTTAATTCCCGATACAATGCACGATTACTTTAAAGGCCGCCATTTTTAATCCAATATGGCGGAAGTTACAAAATGGCGATTTATCATTACAAACTTATGTAGTTTCCCCTGTTAGTTCCCCGGTGTCTCTCTGTCTGTTTGTAATCAAATCTTGCAAGTGACTAAACATTATTCTAAATCCAATATGGTGCCCAAAGATGGCGGACTATGTTTTTTTATGCACCCTCATGATGTGGATATCAAATGAAAGGGTTTGCTGAGAAAAATACAAATAAAATAAAAATAAATTTATTGTAATTTTTTTTATAAAAACAAGCTTTTATTGAAATGCTCCAAAAATAAGAAAATAAACTTAAAATCAAATCATACCCAATAATTTATTACATTACACAATTTATATGATATAAATGCTTGTCGCGAGATTTACCTGTGTAGATTAACAAGTATATAATAATTAATATATCTTATTATACTAATAAGTGAAGTGTAAATTAATGAGATTTCGTGCGGAACCTGTAGGCACACACATATTGTCAAGGAGATAAAATGGCCCTGACGGTTTATTTTTTAAATTTTACAATGAAGTTATGATTCAGTGTTACATTATAGATTGCTAATTTACTTTGAGTAATATACTCGTACATTAAAAACATATCTAACTATATTTTTAACATTTTTAGTTTTTAGGCAATGTTATATTAAGCAGTGACGACAATTTTGTAGCATTTTACGTATATTAATTTTTATTCATCCCTTATGCATATGTTGTATGTTTCCATTCGTACCTAAATTCAGCTTAGATAGAATGTAAATTTTTACCTGTATCATATTACATGTATATTTATCGTAAAAATGTTTATGACTAGTTTTGACCTTAAGAAATCTCAAGTAAGCCGTTATTCTACTATCCACTATCCAGTGGGAACCATTTTCTTAAACATAAAAACCAATACAAAAGGACAAAAAGAAGTCTTTTATTACTCCTTGTAAAATCTTCTAGTGAAGCCCTATTGAAGTAAGTTCAGCTGCCTTCAGCATTTCCGAAAATAAAAGGATAGATATTAAAAGACGTACAAGTCATATATGTATATTATTTTTTGAGCTATTACTTTACAAGTTCTTGGAGCATTATACGACCTAATATGTAAGAAGTATTTATTTTAAATAACTAATGAATATGACTCTCATTTTGTTTATAATTCGCATTGTATAATGAAGTTCTCATCTAAAGAAACGTTAATTAAATCACAGGCGTCGCTCCAGTCAGCACGTGCCAGTTCTATTGACCATCACTGGGTTTGGAAGCATTTCATTCGAACGTGCTATTTCTGATAGCGATGCCGGTGACTTTATCTCCCTGGCGAATAACCTCGTTTCCAAATCTGTGTACCCGAGAAACTGTTCGGGACATTGCGTGTTTCATTGCTCACTTGAGTGACCTTGAATTTATGAACTAACCCTTTGATGAGTGGCCACGTATGAGCCCTACATATTAACACAGGTAGGACGCAGTGTTGAAAAACCTTATTTTTAAGGGACTGGGGTTGATGACTAAGGATATTGCTCCCAAAATCAACTGAGCCCGAGCGTAATCTTCATTGGGCCTTCTCATACATGTGCTGCTAGACGTATACAATTTGACCGAGTATTATATACCTATTGCTGAACAACTTCCGGGATAGCGACTTACGCGAACAATAGTCTAGGGATATATGACAATTCGACATGATTTTGGTGTTCTTAGGATTCATTCTAAGACCCTATCTTATATGGAGTCTGTTAAGCATCTCTTTTAAAGTCTGTAGTGGTCTGCAATGATGACAATACCGTCGGCAAAATGTAGGTGTATGATAAATTGGACCTTTAATTTGCGTGTGTGTATGTATGTGTGCACTCACACACTTGTTTTTAGTGTTTGTTACCATCCAAGCAAAGTGAGGGCTAATCGCTAGTTTACTACATAAAATATAAAATATAAACTACATTTCATTATAAACAGAAATTTTAACATGTTTATATAAATTTCGGTTTCGGCCGAAACTGAGACCGAGGCCGAAGGATCGGTTTCGGTGTAAATCCTGTTTCGGTCGGAAACCAATTAAAATGTATTTCAAAAATGAGGTGAAGGCCCAAAGTATTTTGAATTTTATAACAATTTATAACATGAACCATTTCAATTATGAATATGTGTTTCTAATTTGTTTTTTATCCTGTTCAGAATTTTTTATGTAGTATTGCATTACATTATGTGTATATACACAATCCACCTGTGTACCAATTATTTTTAAATACTTTAGATTATAATCGCTACGACAAACTATTGTATATATTTACAAAGTACCAGCAATTTTATATTATAATATATAATTATTATATCAGTATAACTAAGTATGTACTTATAATAAAATTGTAGTTAACGTTTTTTTCTATACATCTTATATATGTTGACTGGACAAAAAATACAACTTTGCATTGAGTTTTAGTACTTTACTTACGAAACATTTTAAATTATTTTTATCATGGCCTAAGATAAAGTGACAGTGTTCAAGATTTTCTGAATATAAATAGTACCTATAAGGTATATTATTGTATATTTTTTGTTTTTATTTATATAATAACATTACTACAACTAGTATAACAAAACGATCTACAAAAAATAATTTTCTTGGTCAATTTTATTTATTCCTGGAAGCACTGTTGGATTTAATTTGCTACTGGTGCTAAAACCGTATATTGATCACTGCTTAGGTATTTAATCATTGCTTTAAACGAGTAAAGTAAACCCATTTCGATGTGGATTTTATGGAAAGTTTAAAATGATTAAAAATATTTTATGTAATATGTTTTTGAATCTTTAAATTAAAACTTGCAAAATGAGAACTTAACAACAAGCACGGTAACGCCCACAGCAACATCAAAAGCAAAGTAATAAGTAATTGATTATATAATTAGCTCTCTCTTGACTCTATAAAGTTTCTCATATAAATTAACACAACGTTACTACTATTTTCCTTTTTATAATATTATCTATATGTATGCTCATATTATTGTATAATTTACCGCAAAAAAAGTATAAGTATCATTGATAAATTTTAATTTTATAGGATGCCTTCATTAAAATAAAGGCGACCATGATTCAAGTGGATGGCTTCAAGCGGCCGTCGCCATCACCTTCACGATGCTCTATTAGGAGTGACAGTAGAGTTTTTCGACAGCCACGTGTTATCCAAGTTAATAGAGATGCAGCTACTATGATGGACGAAGAAGCTATTGAAGGTCCTTGTAGTGCAGGAGAAGGTGCTTGCCCCTCAGACTGTGAACCTCATAGTAATCAACATGGTTCACATTTTCGTTCGAGAACATTCAGTGATGGCTTTATTAGAAATACTAGTCTAGAATTATTACTCGGTGTAGACTGTGAAGCCTGTCTAGCGCTTGCTTCACAAAGACACTGTATTAATGAACAGATATCTGAGCAAGATTTTGATTTAGTATGCAACTGTAATGTCCGACAAAATAATTACTTAAATTGTTACCGGGACTCTATTAAACAACGTGGACACACTTTAAACATATATGATATTGAAAGAATTAGACGGGATACGGGGCGTGGTAGCCTAACTGTTGGATCACATAGGAGCCTTGATAGAAAACATTACAAAAGCAAAACAATAGGTGTTTCGAGCTACATATCAAAACAATTTATCTCGTATGATCCAACCAACACGTTAGTACAAAAAATTAAAAGAAAACTGTCAAATTTGAAGAAAGTGAAAGGTGATAGCATTGGCAAAAAACCCCAAAATGCTCTTCAACTCTCCGAAATGGCATCTAGTTCAACGAACTCTTTAAAAAAGCTGTCAATGTTATCTCTTGTAGATAAAACTCATAGGAAATTGGACAGTCAAAGTTGCATTTTTTCTCCTTCGAGTATGCAATCAAAAGATGATTTGAAGAATAATATGGCCACATATGAAAATTTTTCTTCAAATATTGATCAATGTTTTGACCGCCTTCGAAATGGTAACACTGATATAAGCACAGCACAGAGAAGTACAAAATTACGGAATTTTGACAATAATGATGAAATTTTTGTAAAAAATACACCATTGATCAAATTTTCTACGCTTGATAATCGTAGTCGTTGCAGAAGTATAAGAAGGCAGCTATCTTGTAATGATTTTCCAAGTGACCGATATAGAGATCGATTAGCAGACTCATGGTCGCAAGATGAGAACGCATTTGTTTCTAGAAACGCGCGTAACGATGTAGTCGATGAAACACAAACATTTGTGGAAACTGATAAAGTAGGGAGAACCCCAAGAACGACTCATGCTCATTGCACATGTAGTTCCAGCCATGACAGAATTCCCTCTATATTTTATGATACACACGTAAGTGATTTTTTTTATTATTCCATCACATTCTAAAAATATGACATTAATGTAAAATTATTCAATCATATTGTCAACAAAATGTCTTAACTAAACCATAATGCCTGAACCAACGACCTTCGCACAGGGTTTTACAGAAAAGATATAAAAATTGCTTTTTTTAGAAAGGCATCTATCTAGATACATTCAAAAAGAAAAACCTTATCTGATTACAAAATTTTATCCAAATCGTTAGAGCCGTTTCCGAGATATACCAAATAAATGTATAATAATAAAAATATACTAGCATTTTTCTGCGGCTCCGCCCGCATAGTACATTAATCACCAACATATCATATACTAAAACCTTCTCCGAAACACGCTGCATCTTATGGTATGAGTATTATTCCGATCGGTTGAGTATAACCGCACAAAAAAATCGGTTCTCTATTCATTAGTATAGAAGATAGATAGATTTGATTAATGCTCATTTAATACGAGTATAAATCTATGAAGTATAAATATTATTTTCGTCATTATACGAACAATATCAGTTATAGTTACGTAAATATTACATGAATAAAAGTCTTATTCTCATTATTAATAGTTACAGTAAAAACTAGAAAATATACTTAATGCACTTCTATCACCGAATTTATTGTATTGGAATTGTCAAAGCAAACTAATTGTAAGTGAGCCTACATTCGAGGGATTTAATTTTACTGCTACCTTTTTAAGATTTTAACGATATATTTCCTGGCTCTATCATCAAAGCACTACGTCGGTATTAAATTATTATCATTTAAATCGAATTATTATAAAACAGGTTATTCATTGCCTAAAATTAATATACCTACTTACTCCAATTTTAACAAATAAAGTATGTATTGACGTGCAAATTTAGTTTATTACTATTATCGTTTTATTTGTGATGTTGAAGAAGCCTAAAATGTACTTAGATTTTATCGAACCTAGGTAATTTTATCAAGGAGATTATTCTTGGTTTTATCACACATCATCATAATACGCTAAAGAAAAATCTCTTTTATAGGCACATAAACATAATATTACTAAAGCAAACCGATATACTACGAATATGGCCGCAAATTTATTTAATCTTGAAAGATATGAAAAATATTATAATATACATAATAATATTATAATATAAAAGAACGACATAAATATCCGAGCTTTAATAATATTTAATCGTTTATTGATCGGATACATAAGGTATAACAAATAAAACGATAAGTAAATGAGTAAAGAATGTGACTAATATATGAAATAATAGGGCAAAAAACGTCCGGCTCCAGCTCCGGATGTGACAGAGCGATCCCAAGGCAGAGTCTGTGGTGCGTGCAAGCCCACGCAATGGCTGCCGCCCACCACATCAACTACCAGCCACAGTTCAACTACCACCGCAAACTCTTCACGTAAGTGATGATTAGTATTAGTTAAAATCAAACTCAAAGCTCTCTGTAACCACAGATTGAAATAAAAAATATACTTATTTTGACTAAGAAATTAGGTAGTTTTTCCTGGTAAAATAATTGCGTGTAGCAACGAAGAAAGAAAAACAGTTTTGTAACTTTATGGCCAAATGAATTTTTCTACGATCTAAGATCCTAAAGCTATTTTGGGACAAGATAAATGAAACCCATTACAGACCACTTCTGCCATTAAAGAAATGACACAAATTAGTTAAATGTCGGAGTAATAAATATATATTATAGTATAAATGTATGTAATTTAAGCCTTTTATTATTTTAAGCCAAAAGGGAGAAAAAATTGTAGCTCTTAATCATAGGTGCGTACTATAGTAGGTATTACACATGTACAAAGAATTCTACACGCATAAACGGCGCACGATGAAGGCAATATGGGCCACCACAGGCTCCTATGACCACTTGAGGTTAAGGGCTCATACGCTGCATTAAGACATATACTCCCGAGACCTAATTTTTGCATATAGTCTTCTTCCACCTATTTATTAAGGAAGAATAAACGAAATAGAAAGTAAATTATTTCGTACTTACTATAATTATTGTTTACTTGAGTCTAGTGACTCTAATTAACTTGAACATCACTTCTCAGAATATAATTGCAGTTTCTTATTAAATAAATTTCAGCCTTTTGTATATTATATATGTGTATATATATATGTGTGTATGTATATATATATATATATCATATATGTATTTTTTTCGGTATCTACTTCCTTTCCGCACCATAGTAACAAATAAGTTAGTTAAGTATAGTAAGTATAGTAAAATGTTTATAAATACAAAAAAGTAAAATAATTGAGTGCTTTCCAATTGATATTTAAAAATTTGAGAACCTTTGGCATGACATGAGTTGACACTAAAGTAAATAACAATGGAATGATGTTGTTTATTATAAGCGTAATTGGAACTTACGTAGAGTGCACTCATTCACAGTCTTAACAAAGTGTCCTCACTGACTGTGAAAAAATTTATTCTATACTTAGTTTCATAAAATACAAAATTACTTTATCCTTTTGCTATCTAAGTAGAAATAATCTTCATTTTCATATATAATATTAAATTTAGGCAAGTAATATCGTAATTATAGTGAAGAAGATATCCCTATATGGCTATTAGTATTTATAAATTATAAGATTATGTTTAAATAAATTCTACCAAAACCATAAATACCTATAACTAATATATTGTAATATGTATAAAATTTTTATATTTTTATTAAAAGTAAAAGCAACTAAGAAAGTTTTTAAAAAAGTATTACGGATGCAGTAATAGAAAGAAGAAAATCGTTGATCAATCAAAAATAATGAAGATGAAACAGTATCAACTTATGTAAGTGTGTGTTGGAGTTTAAAGGGTAGAAGTCGATAATCATCGTTAACTTGAATGATACTTTTATGCACCTAAAATTATTATTTTACCTTAAAATACGAAATAAAACATGGACGATAGATAGATAGAAGCAAAATGTTTTTCATTTTATGAATTTATCCATCTGTAAACTCCCCACTAAACCGATCTAGTAATGTTGAGTTTTGACAAGTAGATTATCGGAAAGCTTCCGACTGGTATTCTTATGACCTAAATCGTCTTTGATATATGTGCTGTCTAAAATGTTTTATGATAAATAGATATTTAAATGGATACAAATGTGAAGTGTATGTAAAGATATAAATCTTTACATATATATCTCTCACTATCACTCGTTAGAATTCTTTTTATTTTTTTCATCGAAACAAGTACCTAGTCATAATATGTAAACAAAGTAGGAGATAGTGGCATTAGCTGGAATAATGTGAATATAATAGCAGTTCATAATGTAAAAACTTTAAATGGATTTTAGATAGTGTTATAGAAGTTATCTCGTTAATGGTGGAAAGTATGGCAGATGATAGCTGATTTTCAATGAATAGGTTTGTCAGCCTGGCATCGTCGTTGGTGCTGTGTCGCGATACTCGTACTGGTCGCGGGCACCGCTTGTGTGGCAGGCCCCCTGGCCTTGCGGGCCCCTCCTGGCGCGCCGCTACACGAACGTCTTCGCCTTGCTGAGAGACTCCTTCATGATACACCGCTTATAGATGGGCACAACGACCTTCCGTGGAATATAAGAAAATTTTTACATAACAAAATCAAAGATTTCAGGTATAACTATCCCTATTTTAAATTTTAATTGCTTAGATGATTTAATTGGTTACGTATCTAGAAAGGTTCAGATTTAAACTAATTAAGTTAATTAGTTTAAACTAGTAAGTTTACGTAATTTATCTATAGAACCAGGATAATTATTTTTATTAAGAATAAACATTAAAAATACATTTTAAATAAAACTATCATTTCGGATTTTTTCGCGGATTTATTTTGATTTTTAGTTCCCGGCGTTTCGAATGCTTTAAAGGAATGACTTTTTTTTTTGATTAATTGACTAAGGTTTTAGACGTCTCAAAGATCATTATACTATACTTGTTACACAGTGGCATTCGCGTAAATCTAAGAAAGTATTATGTTTATTTTATGTTGGTTTGCCCTGCAATAATTTAGCAAAAATATTGAAAAAATGTTAATTGCATTAAAAAAGTAGACAAATAAAAAAGTACCTTTATATTGAAAATAAACATAACACCGCAGACCTTTAATTTTTTTATTATGTATTTACTAAAATATTATTTCTTTATAAAAAAATGTTTAAAATTTTAACTACACTTTGTTTTAAGCATTGCTAGGGGAGTTTAATCGATAGAGTGGCGACGCATATGTTGCAAACTTTTATAAGGTCCAAACTTTCATCAGTTTTCCACATGTATATATAAATATTTTTCATTCAATATATATTTCAGTGCCTAAAAATTTTAAAACTTTGTAATAGAAACCATGACGATAACAAAAAATAAATGGAATGTTCTTTATTAAAAAAATCATAGATTCGACGACGACCTTCGAACAATATCGCCTTGGGCTACGAGTTCTTGGAGTCATACAGATCTGCCCCGTTTAAAACATGGTCGAGTAGCTGCTCAGGTAAGTAGATATTTAAAAAATATATAAGTAGAATCCAGAATACAAAGTAAGACAACGTAAGATTTGCTGCAGAATGTCATATAATTTAAAATTGTTTTAAAGCTGTAACTCTCTCACGTTTTCTATTACATGTCACTGTGAATAAAGAATACACATTTATATTCCGAAGTGGCTTCGAAATGCAATTCGTGCATGGTTTCAAATTAACTAAGAGTAAAAATATCGTATTGGTCCTTTGTTTATGGTATAGTCTATTAATCTATGATGATATAGGTATTATAAAAATGTTTAAATGAAATATTACGGTACATTAAAGCATATGAATATTAAAATAAATATGCCAAATAAGAAAGTTCTTTACATATGTAGAACAAAAGTTATATAAAACTAGTGACTAGTCGAAAGCATTTTTTTTGGGCCAGGAACTTTCGCAGTCTGTTTTTCTTAGTAAACTTTGTTACACTTACATTAAATCTATTTCTTTATAAACGATAACTTCATAGCGCTGCAAACTGTTTGCAGCAAGAAGCTGCCAAAGTTGCAATAACTTTAAACAAGAAAGCCAATACAATTAACTGTGAAAGGCATACATATATATAAAAATGTAACAAGATTGTTTTGTCTCATACAAATATTTTTTACAATTAGTTCTGGGCTGCGTACGTGCCCTGCGACGCGCAGCACCGGGACGCAGTGCAGTTGACCTTTGAACAAATAGACTTAATACAGAGACTCACAGACAAGTACCATCCACAACTAACATTCTGTACTTCTGCTGACGGTAAGTCATAACCATAAGTACCAACCCCTGTTGCAGTTTAAGACGCTTATCCTGAATAATTTTATAGATTTCGTTACATTTGTTGCCGATGATTTGGAAAACTTAAAGAATACCTTTACTTGCCTAGTGTAAAGATTGATGTAAAGTAATACATAACTTGAACTTTTTTATTTTCACAAAATTTATGGCTGATTTATATGTATGTATATGACGCTAGTACCAGCAGTACTTAGCATTGGACATCACAAATAACTTAAGGAATTAGCTGCCACTTTTGGGTTATTTTCCTTACTTAATGATAGGAGATATTAGCTCATTTTTCGTCTGGTTCTCTCATTTCCAAATGTACGAAATATATGTTTTACATTTACCATAAATTTTAACTAGAAAGAATTATATTATATGCCCCCAATGCGAGTTTTAAATGACATTTTAGATGTATGAAAAAAGTTGGAACTCGTTTTCATTTTCTAATATCAATAAAACTCGTACGAAATATTAAATGTTATTTTCATACTATATTTACTGATTTTTCTTTAATTAACCTAATTCACCTATTTGTTTCCATCTTACTTCTTCCTTCAGCGCAGCCTAAATTAAATTTACGATTTGCGGATTAGCATATAGAAGGCCTTTTTAACTCTTAAAATCTAAGCTGAATTAATTTTATCGTCTTGAATTTTGCTTTAAGAAAATTGTACCTATTTTTTACTTTCTTCTGAATGGTCATTAGTGTTACAATAAATCATGCTGCCAACGCAGAATGTTTTTGCACATTAACTACTTGAGTATTTTGAAATACGTTAATTAATAATGATTATTATTTATAATTAAGATTATTTCATTTTCTCATATACATTCCCTTCCCGATATTTTATATCACATCTTGTAAAAAAGTTGTAAATACCTATATTTATTTTTAATTTTATTTTCCTTGTAATATTTCCTTATTCGTCCAATTTCTGATGTTCAAAGCCTTAATTTCGTATATTACTATTGTCATTAGAATTGGTCGTCTGTTAAAAATTCGTAAATTCTTATTTAGTGATACATTCACATTCGATCATAAATATTATTAAAATTGAAAGTTTTATAAGTTCTGAAAACGTTTGGCTGATGCTCAAATATGCTGCTAAAGAGGAAATTGCTTCTGCTATCTTAATATCTTATTTTCTCCAGCATATATTCACTTCTAACGTGTACGGATTTCACGAGCACAATAACATGTCATAATTACATTGGCACAATAACCATTTACGATGTAAGTACGAGTATATCTTCACACTCAGTGTAGATATCAGGGGTGGAATCACAGCGAATCTCTTTGACTGGCCTCAACCCTCTTTGTAACAATTGTTCTCTTTAATAACATCTAGACGGGGAGGATTAAGAATAATTAACAAAATTCTTTCCAGTCGGTTCAATATTTTTATAATTTACTAAATAAAAAAAAATAAGCTCTTGTACAATTTTTTTTATAGCATATTTCACTTGACTTATTATTTCATTATCGTAAATTAGTATTTTTAATAATGTATATATAAGTAATTGTTACAACCAAAATGTAGTAAAATTAATAGAGATTAAAATTTTACGTAAAGAAATCTACTTCTATTCTAACATGCACAGGTATTTCCTAGAAACTTTGATACTCTATTGTCTCACAGTTTAATCGCACATCGTTCTAAACCTGGATTTCAATGAGAAAATTTTATTATGACGTGAATACTTTGAATTAAAAAACAAAATAGATTCATTTCAATCAACTAATTGACGTAGATGCTAAGTCTACAATACAAAGCGTAAATTATGTCTAGTATTAATTAAAATTTATTATTAATTGTGCATGCAATTATTGTGCATTAATAAGAAATACACTGGTGAAGTCATATATATCTATACATTTGCTTCAAGATAATACTATTATTAGAAGTCATATATATCTATACATTTGCTTCAAGTTAATACTATTATTACTGTTTCATTTTTCTATATAATTTTTCTGTAAATAAACTTTTTGCAGATATTCTGACGGCTCACGCAAATCATCGTCTTTGCTCTTTAGTGGGTGTAGAGGGAGGGCATGCTATAGGGGGCAGTTTAGGAGTACTTCGGACTTTGTACCAAGTTGGTGTTCGATATCTAACGCTAACTTCAACGTGTGATACACCTTGGGCTGAATGTGCATCAGCCGATCGACCCGAATCCGCCCAAAGAGGAGGATTATCGCCTTTCGGCAAAGTACGTATTGAAATTGTGTCACTGCATATTGTGCTTTTATTTTAATTGATTTCTTCTTAAAAACCCTCTATAAAATCCTCCTAACTGTTATTGTAAAACGCACTTAACATTGGAAGTCTAGAAGGTCTTCTAAGTAATATTGCAGGGGGTAATCAAAACAAAACCGTAAAGATTGAGACGTCGAGTAGAGCGAGTGTGCTATAATCATAAACATCCTGAGCAATATTTCGCTTTGTATGAACTCCAGTAGCTTGCGAAACTACTCTTTGTTTTACGTACGATACTTTTCGTAATATTTTTCTTTGTTGAAACCACTCACGGCAAGTTAAGCTTTAATTTTTGTAGGTTAATTTTTATCAAATATTATATTTTTATATTTTATTGAAAGTATATTTTCAATTTATTTGAAAAGACGATAAATAGTTAAACTTTAAAAATATATACAAAGAACATTTTCACCGGCAAATATTTACAAAAAATTTTACTCCCACTTTAAGCTCAAAGACACTTGTTCTCATATTCAAAGTGGTGCAATGAATGGTTTAAAGCGCCTAATGAGAAGCCTTTTCGAGTTTTTTGAACACCAAGCATGAGAGTTATAATTTTTTCGGTATTCACATCACAAAAAAATACAACAAGAACACTTAGCAAATATTATCGTTATAAGTGGATAGAATGAAAAAGATGAATTAATGACAAAACATTTAATTCATTGATTCACTGACTGTTTTATTAGTTTTATGCTATATCTATAGCCGCGTGGATTTTATATTTTAGAACCTTCTAATAAATTATTAATTCTAGTTTGTATATTTATTTATTTAATATTTCGAAATAAATCTTATATGATAAATATCATATCATTTTATATAAAATTGGACATTATATTCCATGTGTTTTATTTTTATTTGTTTCAAATATTGTAAGTGTTTGATAATTTCAGATAGTGATAAAAGAAATGAACAGGCTGGGTATGCTAGTTGACTTATCCCACGTGTCAGAGAAAACGATGCGCGATGCGCTATCGGTCTCGCGGGCGCCGGTGCTCTTCTCGCACTCCTCAGCTCGCGCTATCTGCAACGTGACCCGCAATGTGCCGGACACCGTATTACGTTTATTGGCAGCCAATAAAGGCCTCATTATGGTTAACTTTTATACCTCTTTCCTCACTTGTAAGGACACTGCAACTGTTCAGGACGCTATAGGTAATTTATTAATTTATTTACCTGTTCACATGCTATTTGCTTGCAAACTATTTTTTTAAATATATTGATACAGTAGCTTTTGATATTACTTCAGCTAATATTTACATATGTAAAATGTATTAAGTAAAAGCAAATTTAAATAGTATGAAATGCATATATATAGTATACACACATATCTGTGAATTATTTACTGATAAATAAATGTAAGAAACATATTAAGTATACGAGTATGTAATTCTATTAATATGAATTTATGATTTTCTTCTTTCGTATTTTATTTCGTAGCGCTTTTAAATGAAAATTTATTGCAATAAAATACTATGACGTTTGTGTACTTCCAGGACACATTAATCACATACGTAACATCGCTGGGGTGGATAGTGTGGGGCTCGGCGCCGGATATGATGGAATCAATTAGTAAGTTATACATCTTCATATAGTACATATGAATTGTATATCTATATCTATGTTACAGTGGCGAAGCGTCCATACAAGACGCTATAATTTTACATACAAATTCATTTTTTTAAATGTATACATGTTATGTATATATACATGTCATATATATATATATATATATATATATATATATATATATAATACGTCCAAAAATATACCATTTTTATATACGTATTATATATATATATATATATATTATATATTTATATATATATATATAATACGTATATAAAAATGGTATATTTTTGGAACGGAACCTCTGCTAAAATTTCACCCTTCGCCACTGCTATGTTACAGGAACGATTAACTTTATAAATGACTTTAATTACTTACTTAGAAGTAAAGGGAATCTCGTAAACCTGTTAATGTTTAATTTACTTGAATTCTAAGTGGCGTTAATTCAATTAATCGAATTACAATAAGAACTTTTTTACGTTTCACATGTGAGAAATTAATAACATCAACAATAATATACCTACTAATTGCTCCAAGTATTTAAAAGAGTATTTATTTAGCACCTATTCTTTAAAAAATTGCTTACTTACTCTAGCACACCGCAAGGCTTAGAAGACGTGTCCTCTTATCCTCTACTATTTGCGGAATTGATGGAAGATGGCTGGAGTATAGAAGATTTAAAGAAGCTAGCCGGCTTAAATCTCATTCGTGTACTTAATGCTGCGGAGCGGGTGTCGCGAGAATTGGCCTCTGCTCACGTAACGCCATACGAAGAAGTTGCGCCACGGACTTTAGACTCTCATAATTGTTCTAGCCAAGACATATAAAGTCTTTCCAGTAATAGATTATACTTTTAACAAGATTATAAACTGCAGTTTTTTTCGTCGCCTATCTGTTGGAAGTGGAATTTTCATGATACAAAATACAATGTATCGTATAAAATCAGAAAAAAATAAAATAAAAAAACTTCGTTCATTTTATATAAACTTGGTGACAAATATAAATAGCCAACTGGCGACTTAATCCACAGAACTCTCTAATTCAATATATCGATAAATTTTTCGAGTGACCTCAAATAGACAAATTTTATATAATAAAATAATTTATTTTTCTCTTGAATTCAAAATACAATTATATCGATACATAAAAATAAATGTTTTAAATATTTAAAACAAATCCTACCAAAATCTTACGTTTAGAATTTTTCTCAAAAATATCTCATTTTATCCACAGGTTATTTGTTCAATTTTATTATTACTATGAACTAGTTAATATTAACTCGAATGGAGAGTAACAAACTTATTCTACATGCTTACACGTAAAATAATTTGTATAAAACATCGGTAGGCTAAGTTGCCGTTATCAAATCTATTTGTTTTCAAAATTTAGATTGTGAACTAACTTGTAATCTTAAATATCCCAAGCTTTAATATTTTTATCGTAATAACTTTTTAATAATAATATATTATAGTCACCACCCAAGTCTTGTTCAAAATGTTTTTAAACCAGGGCAAGAAATTTTAAAAATGTCTAAGCTATTTCATCAAAATAGATAAAGCACTTAAATATAAATTTTCATTAACAAGAAGATAATTTGATAATAGTCTAAATTAAAATATTAATATATTATATGTAATATGAATGAAAATATGCAGTTATTTACAGTACATTCAGTTATATTTATTAATTATTATCCAAAACTATAATATATTAATTATCCATAATTATTTATTATCCAAAAGTAAGGCACAAATTCTGATATTTTTAATAGGTCTTCAGATGAAAACACCATAAGCCAGAACTAAAGAAATTACAATCCAATTATAGGGTGAGTCGCTACTTAGTACCTATAGATATATATATATATATATATATATATATATATATATATATATATATATATATATATATATACTAACTAGCGACTTACCCTCGCTTCGCTCGGGTTCGTCAGTACGCTTGCTTCCCAATATAAATTTTCATCCCCATTTCACCCCCTTAAGGAATGATTTCTGGAATAAAAAGTATCCTATCCCACCCAGGGTCTCAAACTATCTTCTTACCAAATTTCATTTGATCGGTTCAGTAGACCCAGAGATTACCCCCTACAAAGTCAAAAACTCACAAACTTTACCTCTTTATAAAATAAGTATAGATAATATTATAAATGGTGAAAGTTTGTGAGTATGGATGTATCGATGTTTGTTACTCTTTCACGCCAGAACGGCTGAACGGATCTAGATGAAATGTGGCAAAGAGATAGATAGTCTGGAATAGCACATAGGTTACTTTTCATTCCGGAAAATGTACGCGTGGGATGGATTTGTTTTTGCTTTTCGCTAGTTTATAGTAAAAACTGAGAGTTAACACAATGAACTACATCTAGTTACTTTTGAGACTTCTTTTCAAACACATTATTTTCATACATTATATTTGTATAATTTAATCTTACAATATTTAAGGCATTACGTTATTACTTTATACTGTACACCCTGGCTTCGCTCAGGTTCGTCTCTACGAAAACATAAACAAACCTATCCCACGGTAATAAGTAGCCTATGTGTTATTCCAGACTATAATCTATCTCTGTGCCAAATCTTATCCAAATCCGTTCAGCCGTTCTGGTGCGAAAGAATAACAAACATCCATACTCACAAACTTTCACATTTATAATATTAATACGGATTTATGTTTAAAATAAAAATATTTAAGTGCTGAATCTGATGGAAAACTTTATAATACCCACTATAATTCGTGTGATCTTATTTCAGAATAATAATTCTTAAAGAATAATGCCATCTAAAAACTAATTCCAATTTAAACTATTTACATAGCTATTTAACTGCAAGTGAATTATCTTTAACAGCTGTTTACATTTCTTCGCTGCCTGAAAATTGTACCCGTACGTTCTTCGCAAGAATTAAATTAAAAAAATTGCTTTAAAGATAATTCAAATATCGAATTGCTTAGACGTCTGTAGATTTAGAAAAAAAATACTAAAATTTAAAATTGTAGAAAGATTGTCAATGCCATATCGTCTATGTTAGATATATTAATATTTAGTATTACCCAATGGTTTTTTATCTCTTAGTTTATCTATCAAATACATAGCTTTATTTAAAAACGACCAAAATAGAGTGAACCATAGATTAGAAACCTATAGAGTAAGTGTTCGGTAACATATACATACATATAAGATTCGTATAAAAAATGTTTTTGTACCTTCCTATTGAAACTGAATAAATATTAGAGTACATGTTTGTAATTAAATTAGTAATAATAGACCGATCTTAAGACTGACAATTTAATGTATCTATCTTGTCTAAAGATAAGGGTGAACTATGTTTTACACACTAAACAGTATCCATCTTAAGATTTGTTTATTATTTCAATAAGCTGCTACAAATTAATTCTTTAATATTAAATTATATATTTTCCAAAACATATGTACCTACTCGTTTAAAGTGATTCATAGAAATCGATACAAAGACATCGCATCTCTTATGTATCATAATAATATGTATTGTACTTGTTTTCACTTTTAAACATATCGTAAATTATTTATTCAATTAATTTTTGTAATATATTTTTGTTATATATTTAATTTTAATGTCATTTCTGTCATTCATGTGATAATTGTTGTTATCTCAATATAAACACACCTGAGCATTATTATTAATATTAACAAAAAAAATTAATAGTTAAACTTAATAAAGTTTACAACTACTTATGTGTATAAAAATATTTTTCACGTTAATTCTTCATATTTTATTTATGTGTATCATGTTTCTTCATATAAATCATAACGTATTATTATATATTATGTTATCCCTTTTTACATAGTTAGTATGTTTCTAGTAGATTTTTGCTATAAACAGTAAATATTTAACGTTAGATGACTGATACATTTTAAATTTTAAAATAATTTTCTTTTAATAAATAATTAATTACATATCTACTTATTATTTTCCTTCATTACCTATGTTTTTAACTGAATTGAAAAAATGACTTTTTATCAATTCTCTGATTCGGAGTACCCTATTTGTGTCGTGACATACACGTGTATATCTATCTATCTATCCCTCTGTTAATCTGCGTTGTTTTCTGCGACTAATGGATTGAAAAAGTAGTAATTTTGTAAATACATACTATAGTTAGATGATCCATCCATATCCATACGCATAGCGCATAGCATAGGTTTTTAACTTGTGACATTTCAAATAAAATTTCTCGGTTCATCTAATTCAAATATTTTCTTGTACCTAATTAAAAAAATGCATAGATACAAAAGGCATTAATGAAAATTATGAATATTGAACATTCTCTATATCCAAAACTTCTGAGGCTATCTGTAGCCTTCTGAGGCTTCTTTCTTCTTTTTCTTCTGAAACTTCTGAGTTTTGGATATAGAATAATACAAATTATTTAGTCATTCTTTATAAGAAAAATATAACGAAAACCTTTTGTCATTTTTCTTCATACCCTTCCTTCCGTCCGTAACCTCTTATTTGGGCGACATCGGTTTTTTACAGAATCCCTACCCTAGGATGCCTACCCTACTCTAAATTGTCCATGTACGATTTCTACTCTTTTGATGGAATTTTTCTGAAATTCATTTTCCATATTTGAGCATCCGAATACAAGTATTCATTGTGCAATCTCCCTTATATTTTCTGTTCAGAAACAATGAAAGAGTTTGTTTCGGAAGCTAACCTAGTGTAGTATTCTGAATTCAAAAATCTAACAGAAACCCGTACCTGTGCGACGAGTCTAATACAACAGTAAACACACATTTTACACAAGAATGCAGAATTGTGTGGTAAAAAAATAATAAGATGAAAAACATCAATCTATCAATCGCGAAGGGTGAAATTTTAGCAGAGGTAAGCCGTTCTAAAAAAAACAGACAAAAAACATTGATATACAATTTTAACATTGAAATTTTTTTGTCGCTTTTGTATAGGCCCGATTTTCAGCGAAAGTGCGACATCACCCTGGTGTCGTGGATTTTGGGACTACGTGGTTGATGGGATGTTTTTTTTTGCATTTTGTACCCCTCATTCAGACGCATCTTTTAATTTTTATATATACATACTATTCGTTATAATTTTTTCGAATTTATCGATATTTTATTAGTTTTTGGAGTTAATTTTATTGATTTTACTGAAAAAAATGATTTTAGGGCAATTACAGAAAGAAATGAAATTCATTCGTAATCTAATCTTGTTTATTCATTAGTTAAAAATATATTTTAAAAAATTAAGTTGATATATTTTATAAAATTTAGTCATAAATTTGTAAAAAAATCGTAAATCATCATCATTCATGATCAGGTCATTTTATGAATTTCTATTCCTTATATACCTGCTAACATTATAAAATCATAAAACTTCAGGTTTTCAATAAAAAAAATATTTTAAAAATAAAAGGATTCCGATGGGTCTATTAGTACATAAACAACAAAAAATTCTAAAACTTTCAACTTTTGGAACGAGATTTTTGTAATTGATCTAAATCACCTATTTATTTTTTTATGATTTTTTGAAATCATCAATCTAAACAACTCAAATTTTAAATGATATTCGCCACAGAATTGTAATTTAGAGTTATTTCAGTTTATGAATAAAGGTGCGATGTAACTTGTAGGGAATGTATATTGTACGCAAACTGTTAAAATAATAAATATTAGATAAACTTTGAAATTGCTCTTGTGCCGAGTCGCGCCGCCCCCGCCCCCGCCCCCCGCGAGCGCCCGCGCGTTACCGGCTGCTGCTATCATAGTGTGTGTGAGAATTTGCGTATGTTGTATTTGTGTTGTTCACTGCCGGGGGGATGCAAAGCGGTATGAAACAGATAGCATTTTTTAAAATACCTACTCTCGCCGCGTATCGGCTCTTCACAATCCTCTTAAAGGCTTTTGTTTAAAATCGAAAAAATGTGAAAAATGCGGTTGCTTTTCGCTTGGTTTCGATCAGAAAAAAGATTTATTTTTCTGAAATTATCTCGGAATGAAATAAGACATGGAAAAAATAAAAAAAAGCCCCTAGAGATATGACTTCGGACTACATTTAAAAAAATATTGGAGGTTCATATCACTGATGGGTTTTTCAGAAGGTCGCTCGGTCGAGCGGTTTTTATAAAAATAAACAGTTTTTTTTAAATAAATTGTTTAATCGAATATATTATTAAAAAACTTTCTTCTTACAAATTACCTGCTTATTACGTCTACACTAAAAATAGAAAAATAAAAACTTTTAACAAAAAATTAAAACCGACTACGGCACTAAAATGAAAAAATAACTAAACGGAGGTTTTAATTTCGAATAGATACCTAATCAGATATTTTCGAAGTCGGTGCCACTACAATATACTGATGGCCTTAGTGATCGTGACGTCTGGCGGAGGAAAAAGGCAAAATTCTTCCCCATTTCGTTTATTTTTTATAGTTAAAGTACAGATTTTAATCTATTTTACAGTCTCTATTTACTATCTGTGCTATTGATTGTCATTTAAGAAGGGTAAAAGTAAGGAGGACCATCTCAGTGTATTAAAAAGTGTCCGTTAAAAGAAATTTAAAAGGAGCGCCAAAATTATTAGAGTAGGACACTAAATTAAAAAAGGAAAGAAAGATTTTTGCTTTGTTACAGCGCTTTTTTTTAATTATTGTAATATACAGCCAAACATGAATATGGAATAAAATTATACATTATTTTTAAGTACAACAATTATTTGTAAATTATATTACATTTTTAAAATGATATTTAATAAAATAATATTATTTGTAAACTATATTAAATTTTTCTACTCAGCACACTCCTCCGTTTATAACTGCTAAATTCATACCATTTCCATTTCCTGCACTAGCGCTATTCGGTGAGTGTTCGAACATTAATTTGCTGTTAACAATTGGACACTTTTTCAACTAATCCCCATACGACACGGTCCTTACTTCCACCCTCCATGTTGACAGCGTAGTCCAGAGTCCGCGTCACGACTGAAGTCCTACGGCAAAATTGAGAACTAAATTTGACAGTTCCGTCATCTTGTCGTTTGACAGGTTTGTGAGTGTGAATTGTTATTTGTTAGTTGTTATATCTGAAATATCAGCAATAATGGAGCGTAAATTGTTGAAAAGTACAGCCTGTGAAGTAATCCTTTAAGTGAATGTCTTTTATAATTTAGAATAGATGAATAAAGACTTTTTAATCCCGCTAAATAAAGTGTAGATGAAACATAAAAGTCGCCGCCATGACAGATTCTCATAGCCGCTCATTTTTGCCTAATTTATGCATAACATATTGTTAACAATAACCAAAACTATAAAATAATGAACGTCCCACTTTTTCAGATGGATGACAATTTTCAATATCAATCAATATTGTTAATGTAATGTTATAAATGTTGAAGACCAATACTTAAAAAAATAAGGAAATATATAGGAATAGGAGAAAAACATATTATCTACATAAAGTGATAGCGACACTGATTCTGATCATGATAGTGAATTTATGTATATAAGCGATAGCGACTGCGATGTGTTTGGAATAAAACCTCTTAGCCAAGAAGAGTATAATTATTGTACAAAATTATATAGATAATAAATACGAAATACAAAATACTTGTTTTATTTTTCGCAAAGTTCGTAGGGAAATTTCCGGGAATCTTAATTATTTCCAATTCGAACGAACATAAAAACTTACATAAGTATTATTTATATGTTATATTTCTAGCAACATTTGGTTCTGCGTTAAGACTTAGCAGCGCCGCCCCTATCGGACTTCAGTGCAGTGGTGGCGCGGACGGAAGTCAGCGTTTTTTATAGGTAGCAATATAAATACTCTATGGTCAGCGTCAAATGTCAATACGTCAAACTGGTTGAAACTTTTGTCAATCACATGCTTGAAACCATAGACCAGTCGGCAGTCACCAGATTCTAGAAACAACAAGCAGTTGTTCCTACCATGGATGATACATAAAAGTTCCTAGTCTGTGACAACAAGAAACTTTGAAACATGGATTATATTGACAAATAAAGCTTTGAATGGAATTGAATTAATTGAAAATAAAAACACTATTTTGTCATTAACAAGTTGAGACTAGTTATGTAGTTAATGCAAAATTTTCTGCTATGTATTAAACGGAATACTATTTGACTTTTGTTAACACAACGTGCTAATATACGCCCCTGCCCCCTACAAAGACAATATTAATTAGTCCCATCTATTGTTGTAACTCTTACTTAGTTTATTTGAGATTAAAATGGGTGATAAATCAACTCCACTTTTAGCTGTTCTCCAATTATTACGAAAGTATGACTTAAAGGTACGATTATGTTAAAGATGCTAAAGAAAATTTAGGCGAATTAGTAACTGACCTGAATTCATGTTTATGTTGTTTTGCTAAATCTTTTATAGGGTACCGAAGAAATTTTAAGAAAAGAAGCTAATTTAGGAGATGTTAACTATGAAAATTTAGATTTACCTGAAGTTGAACTTGCTAGCATCCTCACTGCTCACCACACCGAAAGTGATCCATATAGCTATGAATTTGCATACGAAAGTCTTAAAAAATTCGTAGAAAACTCTTTGGATATATATAAGGTAGACAGTAATTTGCTGCATTTCTTGGAAATATTATAGCCTAGGTTTCTTAAATATATATTCAAGTTATAATCGTATTATTCTTTATTATTCATTACATTGCATAATAATATGCATATGATTATAGCATAATTTTCCCACAGCCGGTAGGCACTAGGTCACCTAGTGACAACTTTTACAACAAAAGGAATGTTTAAAATTTTGTTTATTATTTCTTAAATTTAATCAACTGTAGTTTTTTATATTGTGATAATATTATCAATTTTCATTTGCTTTTTTTATTTTAGTATGAACTATCAACATTTTTGTATCCAGTTTTTGTCCACATGTATTTGATACTTATTTTATATGATCACAATGAACATGCTTCAAAATTTTTGGAAAAATTTGGCCCTGTACAAGAGGAGCATTATCAAGAAGATTTAAAAAAATTGGCAGCAGTTGAGCACAAAGAACAAATCAAGGGTAATGAACTTGCAGAGATATACAGGTTAAATGTCATTTAATGTATTCCAAAAACAATTTGTAAAAATATATAAATATATTTTTAATTTAATAAAATATTATATAAATTTCAGTTCAAATAAATTCCAAGTTCAGCTATCTCGAGATGCTTCAACTCAATTAAAAAGGTATTTACATGAGCAAAAAAGTTCACCAGTCATCATAAATATTATTAATAACCATATTCAAATAGATATTCATGATGGTCCAGGAAGGACTCAAGCTCAAGTTAAAGCAACAATAGGAGGTCTTCTTGGTGAGGCTTCAAGGAATGGTGAGTAAAATAATAAAGAAATATTTATTCTATGCTTTAATAAGGGCCTTCTCATTGAATAATCTTTTTTTATATGTTCCATTGTTGTTAGTTTGACTGGAACGAAGCACAGGTTAATTTTTATTTTGATGACTATTCAAATACAGTTATATGTAAATCTAACTTTTATTGAAAGTCTGAAGAAGATCTTAAAACTAAAAAACCAATTGATTGTGAGAGAAATATTTTATGAATAATTACTTTACTTTTTATACAGATAATCGTCCTAAAGTTTACTATGGGTTGTTGAAAGAACCAGATATTCAAGTTCTTCCAGCTCCAATTGAAGATGAAGAAGAAGCAGAAGAGACTCCAGACAAACCAAAAAAGAAAAAAGCTAAAAAAGACAATATATTTATGAAAAAGCCAAAATCTGACCCAAATGCTCCACCAAATGACAGAATTCCTTTACCGGAATTGTATGTATACAAGTTTATTTTAAAAGACCTGCCATGTTTTTTCAAAAATAATATTATTGTAACATAAACAAATATGATTTTGATGAACAATAACTTTACAAATTACAGAAAAGAAACTGATAAAATTGAAAAAGGAAAAGCACTCAGAGAAGCATCCAAAAGAGTGCAACTTGGTCCTGACAGTCTGCCATCCATTTGCTTCTATACGCTTCTAAATAGTGGCCAAACTGCAATTTGTGCTGATATTTGTGATGATTCGACATTACTTTCAGTTGGCTTCAACAATTCATTAATAAAGGTACCATGACAACTAAATTATTATTATTTTGGCCAATAAGTAGATGTTTTAACACTATATGTCCACTTTTGTTTTTTCCTTAATGAACAAGGAATTTAAGATAATCAACAAGAGCTGTGTTTGTATTTTTACTTTTTAATGCTGCCCATATTCAATATTCTGTAGCCTGTACTATTAGATTATGTAAAATTTTGGGAATTTCTGTCCCTTTCGAAATATATAGAGAGACTAGCATTGCCCGTGGCTCCGCCCGCGTTCTGATGACCAAAAACCAAATACTTAGGTTTTACATATTAGTATACTCTTACATTGCAGTTTTTGTAATTTTTCTCTTAAATGAGATATTTTCCCGCGGTAAAAAGTATTCTATATGTTGACCCGGATAACCAGCTATCCCGGGGGAGAAGCCAACTCCTACCGGGCGCGTCCCCAGGTGGCGGATAGGGGCATGCCACCCGCTTAGAGGGGCGGGTGGTACCGGAGAAATCCGGCGCGCACCAAATGGCTTGGATGGGGCCGCTCGTCTAGGCCTCGAGCCGAAGACGTTGCGGCCACCGGTGGTGGGACCGCTTGGTCCCACAACCGGATGATGGGTGCCGGTTGCGGGACTGTAGTCGCCTGTAGTCTGCCTAGTATTTAGGCAGACCTGCCGCCGGGGCGCCGTAGTAGTTATGCGCAAGCGATCCTGCGGCGTCCCACTAAGGCGGGGGGAAGGGATGTCGGGTTTTAGTGGGTAGTACCGGCTCTTCTAGCCGGTGAGCCACACATCACCACCTGGGGGATCAGGTGGTATGCGTAAATGCATTTCCCGACGATAAAAAAAAAAAAAATAACCAGCTATCACCATACCAAATTTCATCAAAATCCCTCCAGTGGTTTTTCTGTGATGCGGTAACAGACAGACAGACAGACAAAAATTCTAAAAACTATATATTCGGCCTCTGTATCGATAATAATGTTTATTTCAATAAGATTTTCCGAAAAATATCTAATGTACAGATTCGGCTTAGTTACAATTTTATTATATGTATAGATAAAAATATAGTCTCTAACCCTTATTCTGTTTTCTATTACCTAGGTTTGGACTTTAACTACTCTCAGACTGCGAGGAATGAAGTCTGCAGAGAAACTACAAGATATTGACAGGGAAGCTGGTAATATATAAAAAAAAATTTAAATGTAGTGTAAAAACTGTCCTGAATTTTGTATGCTAATGTTATAAGTATTCAATTATACTTAATATAAAAACTTATGTTAAAAAGATTAACAGCATCAGTTGCCCAGGCATTTTTTATTACAATAACTTTGAGTCATTATTATAATTCTTTTATATCTTAAATCAATACAGATAAATAAAATTGTAGTCTGTTTGTAATGTCAAAATAACAGCTATTTACTAAATGCATATGAGATTATATCTACACATATAATACCTTTAAACGAGCAATTCTTCTATGTTTATACCGGCGATATCGGAAACGGCTCTAACGATTCAGCTGAAAGCATGTTTTCGGGGGCGAAAAATCGATCTACATTAGTCTTATGTCTGGGAAAACGCGTGTTTTCGAGTTTTCATGCGGTTTTCTTTCGCACGCAAAATATGGTCGTAATTTCGCACGCTCGGGCATAAGCATCGTGGTCAAGCGACCAAGGCTAAAGATTGACAATCACAGGTCCAATCCGGGTTGGAATCCCGGTCGGATGCAAAGTTTTTACTTTTGTTTTTTTTTTGTATTCATGCAGGCAAAAACTCCGAGCGAAGCTCGGTCGCCCAACTACTGGTACTTAAACATATTTTTTTTTATCTGTCTGTTTGTTCCGGCTAATCTCCGAAACGGCTGGACTGATTTTGACGGGACTTTCACTGGCTGATAGCTGATGTTATAAGTAGTATCTTGGCTACTTTTATTTTAGAAAAAGAATAAGGGTTCCACTTATAAAAAAATAAAACGTATATAGGGACGCACCCGAGTGAAGCCAGAGTGAGTCGCTAGTAGGTGTATAAAACCTTCTTAAATTACTCCTTGCTTTTCACCACAACATTTTGATTTGAATATTAATAAATATCAAATATATATCAATAATGATTTAATTATATACATATAATTAAATTACTTTATTAGTTATAGTTTCCTAAATTTTTATTTAGAAAACAATAGTTAAAATCAAATCATAATTTGTGGGTAACATAATCTATCTACTTATATATACTATACCTATCTACCTATATGTAGATAGGTATATACCTATCTACATATAGGTAGATAGGTATATATAATTGAGAACGTTATAATTTTCTGACATTGGCTAACATTTATTATCATTTGTATTTTATTAGGTGATGTGTTAGTGAGAATGATGGAAGAAAAAGACAGAGATACCTGCAGAACATTATTTGGACACTCGGGCCCTGTTTATAAAGTGGCATTTGATCCGTTCAAGACTATGTTATTGTCCTGCTCTGAAGATTCAACTGGTAAGGCTTATAATGTTATTATTTAGTGGTAGTGTATAAAATTATGACGACCTAATTAAGTCTGAATGTCTGGATGAAAAAGAATTATGAAGGAAGAATTGGGCACGAACCCTAGCGTAGCGAGGGTGAGTAGCTAGTCTGTAATCTGTATAATTTGTATAATCTGTATATAATTTTGTATAAAGAATATAAATGTGAAAGTTTGTGAGTATGTATGGATGTTTGTTACTCTTTTACGCCAGATCGGCTGAACGGATCTGGACGAAATTTGGACAGAGGTAGATTATAGTCTGGAATAACACATAGGTTACACATAGGATTTTCTATAGACGAACCCGAGCGAAGCGAGGGTGAGCCGCTTTGTCAGTAAATAAAAACAAGGTGTCCGACCACCAGTGCGGCTGTGGTCGCTGCAGTGCTGGACGTGCCTGGTGGTGTACCGCGGGCACGTGTGGCCGGTGTGGGACGCGCGCTGGTCGCCGCACGGACACTACTTCGCGTCGGCCGGCCACGACCGCACCGCGCGCCTCTGGGCCACCGACCACCACCAGCCCTTGAGGATCTTCACTGGACACCACTCCGATGTTGATGTACCATTCGTTTATTTCTTTAATCCTTTATTATATCATTAATATGACAATGTAAAGAGAACACAAATGATACATTAAAATATATAGTATTCTGGGTGTAAATTCAAACTTATCACTTGAAAGTGCTTTGTTCCAGGCAACAAATATTAGACGAGAAATCGTAGAGTTGCATGTATACTGTACAGTGGAACCATCATTATTCTCTGTGCTTGTCTGTCCCAACTTACGGCTAAAAACACTTATTATTTACTTATATTTCAGTGTATACAATTTCATCCCAATTCAAATTATATCGCTACGGGCTCTAGTGACAGAACAGTTAGACTTTGGGATTGTTTAACGGGAACTCAAGTTCGACTGATGACAGGCCACAAGGTAAATATTTTAGTGTAGATACATGATACATATACTCTAAACGCAATGTCAGTAATATGATTAATATTATTTCTATACAAAGTTATACTTTATTAAAATTATTATGTTACTAGTGAGTAGCGACTCACTCTCTTCACTCGGGTTCATTCTTAGGTACGTTTTAACGGTTAGTATGGAATAAATAGACTATATATTATATATACATTATACATACATAGGTACAAAATAAACTTCTGAACTTTTCAATTTACTAGCTATGTTTTTGGGTTTTCCCTATTTTTTTATACTTAAACCACCCCTGACATATCTCCAACAAAACAAAAAAAGAATTATTGAAATCGATCCAGCCGTTTTTGAATTTTAAGGAGACTAACGAACGGCTATATATATATATATATATATATATATATATATATATATATATATATATATATCGTCGCTGTAGAAAGATATCCTCGTATGTTCAGAGATCCAAATTTTACAGGAAACGTATAAAATGGTTCATTCCGTGAATGTTTAAAATATTGTTGTGTTTTTGTCTCACGTTTTGAATGATATTAAGGATTTATTTATGTTATTAACCAATCCATTACTTATCTGGGATACGTGCTTTTTATTTGACTTTTACAAAAAAAAATGTTTTTTTGACATACGAGGTATTCATTCTACAGCGACGATGTATAGATAATTCAAATTATAACTATAGAAGACTTTTTTTAATTTAATTATTATATCTTAACAATGTTAGTATATTATGGCTATCAATTAAAAGTTATACATTAAATTGTACGTTTACTATACCGCAGTCGACCCCGTTCACGCTGGCGTTCTCCGCGTGCGGGAGGTGGATAGCGTCGGGCGGCGCCAACGGCGAGGTGGTGGTGTGGGACATCGCGAGCGGGCTGCCGGCCGCGCCGCCGCCGCGCCACGCCGCGCCCGTGCACGCGCTTGCCTTCAGCCGCGACGGCACCATACTCGCGTCTGGTTAGTGCTTGTGTTACAGACCATTCGTTAATTACGTAAGGACAATTTTAGCCATTCTTGACCCAAGTTTTTTGTTCAATTTCCGGCTTATTGTGATGTTCTATCGAAAAATGTTTTCCACAAAGTTGTAGGTTTAGTAAAAATCCACAACTTTTATAAATAACACTTTTTACAATAACTTCAAAGTTTTCGAGATATTTGCAAAAAACTCAGTTTTTAACTTTTTCTTGGTTTTTTATTTTTAATTTCTAGAATAATCTTTTAAATTCCATGAAACTAAAGGAATGTAATCTTCGAAATACATATAATAAATTTAAAAAAAAATTGAAATGTTTAGTCATTTCCGAGAAAAGTATGTTTCATGGTCTCGAGAGACTGAAAGTCACCCCCTACTTCAAGTGGGCGCTTACACTTAAAAAATTTTTCGTTTAATTTTCAGATAGGGCTCATTCTTTTCGTCTTGAACTCTACTTTTTGAAAATATAAAAACATTGTATAGTCGTCTTGTAAAAACACCCTTAAAAAAATAAAAATTTAGAGAAATCGATAACTTTTACTTTGTAAAGTACATTTTTTTTAATTATCAATACGGGCTACTTACATACCTGCCCCAGGGGGCGGTCGCGTTATATCGGAATTGTCTCTACACACATGCCTTTTAATCAGCGTTCGGGTAGAAACTGAGCTAAACATACTCGTTGAGAATGGCCCCAGTATTATCGAAAAATCAAAAGATCGGTAAAGAAATTGCCCCACTATCGCATCGCGCTATACGCGCGCCAATCTAGGGACCAAGGAAGGTTAGGGCCCCTGCTGCCCTGCCGCAAGGTCAATGTAGGGAATTGCCCCTGCTTGCTTATTTATATCACAATTAAGGGTCATCCCCACTTTACTACCTAGATCGCTCCTGCGGCAGGTGTGTAGTAGCTCGCTTTAAACAATGCAAATCTGCGTTAAAAACCTTTCATTCATCCACTATTTTATTTGAAGTATCTTATTCTTAATATACATCATAGGAAATAAGAAATCGTAATCGTATCACAATTTGAATTTTATTTACAGGGTCCTTAGACTCGACTATTAAACTTTGGGACTTCGCAATGATAAGTGACGAAACCATAAATGATGAAACTGGAACGAATAATTCAGTACAGAAAGAAGAAAAATTCTTACTAAGATCTTTTGCAACGAAAAATTCGCCTATTAAACATTTACATTTCACTCGGCGTAATCTTCTGTTAGCTGTAGGTTCATATGAAGGTAGTTCATAAATTAAATAAGCACACTTTTAAGTAATAAAGGAATTATATTAAAAATGTATTATTATTTATTCATTTTTTAAAATTATAAACACTACAATGATTGTAGAAAATAAGATCTCTCAGCTGTAATAAATTGAATTATTAAATTAAGCATAGATTCATTGCTCCGAGCAACTTGTGCTTTCATTGCTTGTTTGAAATCTTCTTTAACACCTTTATCTGCTCCACGAGTGCCAATGCGACGTTGTCCTAAGTGTTGTTGTGAATTGGGTAGAATATCCAAAGCTATATTTTTCCCCTGCTCATTCCATATGAAACTCAATTCTTCTAATAAATCAATGTGGATAATATATGTTGGAAAAAGATGGTAATGGAAAACACCTCTTTTTCTAATAGTGTCCATTATATGTATAAATACAGATTCCTCTTGTGGCCATCCCAGTTGCATCAATACTAATATATGTCCATAAGTTAAATCAGTATTATTACCAGTTTTCAATAGAATTCTAATTAGTAAAGTACAAAAATAATGCATGATTGCAACTTTAGTCAAAGGTAAAAAGTGAAGATGTCTATGTTTACCACCAACTATGAGGTCCGATTCTAACACCCCTTCTACTGGAGGTAATAAAGGTAAAGCTGATATAATATTTTCAATACAAGCTGTATAATTTTGCTGACAAAAGCTTAAGGATACTTTGGTTATAATAGTTGTTATATTATTTGATGCAGATGTTGAAATTGCTTCATCATACCTGCCTCTGTATAAAGCTAATTCTTCAGAAAACCCATCCAGCCAAGGTTTCACTTGTAATTGAGATGTTAATTTCAGAAATTCCCTTGATATAACTTCATTGCGATGTAATAGCTCCCAACAATTTGCAGCTGCTTGGAACTGATGAGCAGATATTCCTGTTACTTCAATATCTCCTTTGCGTCGTTTTGAGGGTGGTAAATCAGGATCGGACAAAGCTTCAACTAAAATATGATTACCTTTTAAAGATTTATGTTCATGTAAGGATCTTAAGAAAAATACCACTCCACAGTACAAAAGTTGCCTACAATCATCAAAACTCCTGAGACTTAACAATTTCTGATAGTAAGATTCTTTATTGAGGCTATTACTATAGTTTACAAGATAAGAATCCCATCCTAATTGTCTTCCCAACAATTCCAAAACCCCATATAGCCTTTGCCAAGGATCAGTGATGTCATGTTCTGTTTCATCATAAATATAAGAATTGTAAAAGTCTATTGCTTTGACCACTAAACGCTGAAGTAATCTTGGGGATTCCAGTGAGTTAAGTAATGGTAAAGTTTCAACAACAAGTAATCGAGCATATCGGTTATCATAGAAGAATTTTTCAGCATTTATCAATGTTTTGACAAGGCTATCTACACCAAGTTGAGGAAATTTCTTTAATAATAATACTAATAATCGACAATGTTCCATAGTGTCATCACTATTTTCAACACTTGTCTTAAGTATTGTTAATTGAATATCAGGGCATATGTGATCAAACATTTGACTTAAAAAACTTGGTTCATTGGATTTAAGAGCGTTTGCTATAGCAGATATTTCGGGTAGCAAATTGTTTAAATTTTGAGGCACTAACATTAATGAGCTAAAACATTCCGCAGCTTCTTGTACGTTTCCAGATTGCTTTTCCATTAAATAAGCTTCAAATTGAATTTTAAAATTAGTAGGAAACAAAGTTTTAGCAGTTAACATCCAAGCTTTCGCCGAATAAATGTTTTGTTTTTGAGCTTCCTTTGCTCTCGATATAATATAATTTTCATCTTCTTCAGATGTATTTTTTTCAATTGCAGGCATTTTTTATATTATATGTGTCACCTTTACAATTCTTGCTACTAGGAGAGCCGTATTGGTAAAAATTTGCTACAATAAGATTTTTAAAATTTTGATCTTGTTGTTCCTGGTCTGTGGTATTTTGACATTTTTACTTGTCATCCATGTTTGACATCTTTCAAAGACTGTCATAGATAAGTAACAATTACAAACTTCAGAGAGGATAGATAAAATAAAAATAGAGAGATACTCTTTTATTTTTTATCGACTTCAAAAAAGGAGGAGGTTCTCAATGTTAAACAGGTCGTGGACCTGTTTAACAATTTATTCGCTAAACATTACGTTTTTTAGGACTTTCAGGACTCGACTGTTCCAGCTAATTTTGTAAGTTATGAGGTTTTATATCTTCGTCTGTTTTCAGGTACTAAATATAAGGAACACAAATAATCAAATTAGTTAAACTAAAATATAGCTACGAGTTAAATATAACGTATATTGAAGTATATAATATAATGTTTATTCTCTCCGATAGTTTACACATTATGATTGTTATCTGTAGACTATCTGATAATAATAATCACTTTATCAACCTACCCTACCCCAGCCTGCAAATTTTTGATATTCGCAATGAAAAAAATACTAATCGATAGATTTTTAATAGCTCAATTCAACTACGTAGCCCTTCCAAATTGCTCACCATTAATTATAAAATTAAAAATCAATAAAGTCCTTGAAAAAAAATTCATTTATCCGTATATTCAAATTTCTATATCTTTTGATATATACAATATTTTAAATTGCTCAAAGTTCTAAAATACTGCTCAAGTTGCATTTGTAATTGCTCAAGTAGAGTTCTCACCAGCTCCACTTTCCTTAATTATTAAATAAATATAAATAGTTTGAATAAATTTAACGTATAGATAGGTGAGTGCTGCGCATGCGCGCAAACAGTAACGCGAGTCGCAAGGCAAAAAAATCAAGTGTTTCATAACCTTATCATAGTGAAATGAAACTGTAATACTCCAAGCACAACATCATCTATTATCAGGTATTTTTATTATTTATTGACTTATTCATTATGTTCAATTTATACAAAAATCAAATCATGACTAAAAGGTAACTTTATTTTGTAACTTTATGTCTGTTTACAAAGTATTTTCTATATATTCTTCTTTGCTCCAAAACAAAATAAGTAGTAGTATACATGCTCATTATGTTTGCTGGATATTTTTCACTTTTTGACTAAAACTAAAAAATGCTAGAATAAATATAGCTAAAATATACATAAATCTGCTAGTCTAGTAACAGAATTAAGACGTTGAATTGGAACGATTGTCCAAGCCCGCCGAGGCCGACCGACAATGCGCGGTGCGCATGCGCACGCTCACTTAACCTACGTTACATTTATTACAACTATACTTTTAATTATTTAATAATCAGCGAAAGTGGAGCTGGTAAAAACTACTTGAGCAATTACAAATGCAACTTGAGCAGTGTTTTAGAACTTTGAGCAATTTGAAATATTGTATACATCAAAAGATATAGGAGTTTGAATATACAGATAAATTAAATTTTTTTCAAAGACTTTATTGATTTTTAATTAAATAATTAAAGGTGAGCAATTTGAAAGGGCTACGTAGTTAAATTGAGCTATTGAAAATCTATCGATTAGTATTTTTTTCATTGCAAATATCATAAATTTGCAGGCTGGGGTAGGGTAGGTACTTTATCAGACATCAGCGTAGATTGATGATGATGATGTTCTCCTAGCCGATTCCGGCCACGGCGGCCAATCTCAATGAGATTAGCCAACTGCGCAGGAGATATTATAGTGCTCAAGTGTACGCGCAGACACAAGTGCACTCTCTATTCCTATCACTCTCATACTCCGGTGGGACGACCACTCGACACGACCGGTGAGAGTTAAGGCGCAGGACCGACGGCTTTACGTGCTCTCCGAGGCACGGGGGTGAAACACCGCCAACTTCCCAACTCCGGGCTGTTACTGATACTTACTATACAGGAAGACTCAATAACTAAACTTGGCCCGACCCGGGACTCGAACCCAGGACCTCCGGGTGTGCAGCCGTACATGCTAGCCACTACACCACCGAGGCAGTTAAGCAGAGAGGCAGCGTAGATTATATGTCTTCGGACATCAGTGATCAGTTTTAATTTTTTATTATTTATCTGTATTTTTCAATTATCATCCATCATGGATGACATATCTATTATCTATAATCTATGGTTACTACAACGCCGACTTCGGTCAAAATTCAGGCATTAAAAGAAAACTTAAATTATTTGTGGTGTGTTTGCTACTTTCTGTTTAAAATAAGGATAAAAAAAGTATTTGCTGAGTGCTATTAAATTAGCTTATTATTAATATACAGTATCTTTTATTATGAACTAATGATACTTCCTACTTCAAAATACAAAAGAGCGTCAAAACCCACAAATAATCATTTGTTTACTATGAATACATATGATATTTGTGATTATGCCATTGCGGAACTTATTAAAGATCATATTTTGGAAAATATTTTTTCATATTTATCCTTACGTGATCTTAAAAACTGTGCACTAGTATGTAAAACGTGGTTTAGAATTTTAAGCGATGAAAATAATGATGTTTGGAGATTAAATTGTGTAAAAAGATTGGCTGAAGAAGTAATGAAGTCCGATTTACTTTCTAACTTACCAACTTATAAGACAAAATTAAGAGCATTTTATCATGCATGGAGCCCATATGACTGTTCTAGAAATATATACATAAAACCTAATGGTTTCACTTTACACAGGTATGTTATAAGAACATTTCTTTTTTTCATTTGTATATAATGCTTCAAAAAGTGACCTGCCCACACTGTTCAGATGCCAACTGTATTCCAAGCAGTCCTTGGGAAGTTTTACTTTGCTGATGGAAATGAATTATTTGTAGGAATCCTGTTGCTCAAAGCACAGATGCATGTCGAGCAAAAATTGGCTTCTATAGAGGAAGACATGCTTGGGAAGTCATTTGGGAAGGACCATTGGGAACAGTGGCCGTGGTTGGAATATCAACAAAAGAAGCCCCTTTACAATGTCAGGGCTATGTCGGACTTCTAGGTTCAGATGAACAGAGCTGGGGTTGGAATTTAGTTGATAATCACTTGTTACACAATGGTGACACCCATGGGCGATATCCTCTTTTAAATAACTGCCCAAAATATCAAGTAAGTATTATTCAATAATTTCCAACTTAGAATTTTGATTATAGATTAATGATTTTATTTATGCAGGTGGGCGAACGCATTAGAGTTATTTTAGATTGTGAAGGACGCACTTTGTCATTTGAGAGAAATTTTGAATTTTTAGGAGTAGCATTCCGAGGTAAATATAATATGAAATTTAAGTACTCTTGTTATGTTTTCTAATAATATCTGAAAAACTAATAATCTTCTAATTGCTTTCAGGCCTTCCAATAAAAAAAAAGTTATATCCAACAGTATCTGCAGTGTATGGGAACACTGAAGTTTCTATGGTGTATTTAGGTCCACCTGCAGATGGCTGATATGAAATTTGGTGGCTGGGCCTTGCCCACCTAAGTTCTAGTCACAATTATTTTAAAAATGTCTCGGACTGTATTCTAGTCAGAAATTGTGTTATTAAATTTAAGTTAATCTTTCTGTTACCAAGAATTAATTTTAGTAAGATTATTGAGATTTTTTTTCTCTATTTTTTACAAAGGCTTATTATTATTTTTCATTCCAATTTAACATGTCTTTAATAGCTTGTACATACAGCAAACCTGTGATTTTGTGAATTTTAGTTTTAAATCATGTTGTTTCAAATATATTATAAATATATTTTTTTCTAGATAATGTGGTTCAAATTATGGTATAAATCCTTTCCACTTGTAAAACCAGAATTTCTTTTTGCAATAACTTTAAAAGTGTATGAAAGCTGTTTATTGTTTTGCAAAAGTACTTGAGACTTTGGAATTATTTTCATCTCAATAGTAACACTTTGAGTACTCATTTGTTAAGTATACATAAATACTGTATTTTTTATTATATTTCATGTATTTTATTAAGTATTATATATTGGATAAGGTTAATATTATTTTATATTTAATAAAGCGAATTAGCTTTGATATGTATTTTTTATAATCAAATTCCCTTTTAAACTTGAACAACTTTATCAAAATACTTTATAAAATAAAAATAATGTAATTAAATTTAAAAATATGTAAAAATCTTGAATGTGTGTATAATTATCCAGCAGCTACTTGGACAATGCAAAGTGAAGCTGCTTGTAACATCAAAGCTAAAGAATATACACAAGAAAATGAATTTCACTTTGTAAGTTAATTTTCTTTGTCGCTTTTATTTTAATAAAACTACAACATTTTTTTAATATATATGATTAACAAACATGGTCTGTGCAAGTATCAAACTTTGTTACCTCCGATAAATATCAAAATCTATACATATTATAATAAAATTGTAACTAAGCCGAATCTGTGCATTAAATATTATCGATACAGAGTCCGAAACTATAGTTTTTAGAATTTTTGTCTGTCTGTTACCGCATCACGAGAAAACCCCTGGACAGATTTTGATGAAATTTGGTATGATGATAGCTGGTTATCCGGGTCAACATATAGGATATATTATACTTTTTACCGCGGGAAAATATCTAATTTTTGAGAAAAAATACAAAAACTGCATTGTAAGAGTATACTAATATGTAAAACCTAAGAATTTGGTTTTTGGTCATCTGAACGCGGGAGAAGCCGCGGGCAATGCTAGTACATCGTAAAATGCGCCAATCTCCAAGGTGAATGAATTTGCAATGAAACAAAAGTATTTTATATTATTTTTTTATTGATGGCAATTTTTTGTACATTTAATTGATTGAAGTCTAATGTGCGAAAGCGAATTTGAAATGAAATTTGATTTATTTAAATTGTTCCTATTCTTATGGTGCTAAAGTATTGGACTTCGGTGCCGTCCGCTTAAGTGTTGCTCATCACAAAATTGACTAGTATCGTCAGAGTATAATATTTACGGTATGAAACGTTCACCGGGTCGCTCTCGCTAATTGGCTTATTATTAAGGTTAGAACATTCGACTTGATTCATATTTGGAATATGAACGCGTGGATTGTACCGTTCAAAGTTATTTGTCTATGTATATAATATTGACATGATTGAAATAAAAACTATTACATTTGAGGTGTACATACCTCGGACGGACCATAGTCGCTACGCTTTCCCTACTTTTGATAATTTAAAAGTTAAATACATTTTATTTTTATAGAAGCTTTATGCGCTCCATTAACGTACCCAGGCCTTTGTTTCGGGGTTCTATTTTTTAAATACGCTTCTTTTCGCTAATTATGTTGTAGGAGCGATTATGTTGAAGGCCGAAGCCCTTCATAACTCTCATAACTCTATTATATATCTATTGAACAAACATTATCACTCTGTAATTTAACTTTAATTAAAACACTTAAATATAGTATATTAATACTGTAGGTTTTATTGAGGTCTTAATTGGATTAGAATAAAATAACTCCTTTTTTTTGTTAAATAAACAAGATCCATGAATAAATTAGTGTGAAATAATAATTAATTATAGATTCAAAAATGGTACCTTTGTCAAATACTATTATTGATTTCATTCATTATATGACATTTTCAATGCCTTTATTAATATTTCTAATAAAAACGAATAGTATTACAGTATATTTGTTACAATCTACCATTAAAATTGCAACGCGATCGTAATTATACATTAAGATGATTGGAATGTAAGTAGCTACTAAAAGACATCACTTATCAAGACTTTTGGTACATCGTGTTTTAGGATAATCTGTCTGTCTGTAGCGCAACACGAGGATAGTAAAGCTAAATAGATGTCATAGGGATTTTTTATCCTAATAATAATAATGTTCTCCCGACCGATTTCGGCCACGGCGGCCAATCTCTTTGAGACTAGCCACAAGTGCACTCTCATACTCTGGTGGGACAACTGCTCGACACGAGCGATAAGGCGCAGTGAGAACTGAGAGTGTTGGCGCAGGTCCGACGCGACACGTGCTCTCCGAGGCACGGGGGTGAAACACCGCCAACTTCCTAATTCCGGACTATTACCGAGACTTACTAAACAGAAAGACTCGATAACTAAACTTGGCCCTACCCGGGGCTCGAACCCAGGACTTCCAGATGTGCAGCCGTATATGCTAACCACTACACTGCCGATGCAGTTTTTATCCTACTGGTGGTTGGGATATCGATTATAGAGACAAGTCGAGCAACAGCTAGTAGCGCGTATTATATTAAATCTTTAAAACAACCTTCAGTTTCTATTAGGTACTATTTTAATTACTGGCGCTCTACTTTATCCGGCTTCATTGGAGTAAAAATGATGTACTTAGCTTGTAAGTAAAAACAAATACTGTAACCGACTCAATATTTACACAAATACAATTTCATATAGAACTGTAATACAATTGTCAAAATTTATCAATAAATGAAAAATAATTAAGGAGTATATCGAAAATTAAACAAAATTATTAAAAATTATAGTAAAAAATAATTAGTAAAAAGGTCAACTTTTGAAATATAAACACGTGTATACCTACTTAGCATTGATTCACTGTAAATATATTTCCAAAACGATCTACATATACCTATTACCTAATATATAACATATTAGTATATTAAAATTAATTCACTTATTTAATCGCTTCAACAAGCTTTTAATAACTATTATTGCAATTCTTAATTAGCAATGAGATTATACTACTATTAGTAAACGATTGCCGATGTATTATTACGTATGAGCATTCGTGAATATCACAGCAGAAAGGCCGACCCAAGAACGTTTACAATGCATATGGTGTGTCAAACAATAATAATATATAAATATAATAACAGTTACTAATCAACACGTCCCTCTAACTTCCTGTCATGTAAATGATCCCTCATGTGTGGCTTTACCTTAGTCGGTGGGAATTTTGTTAAACAAAAATCTGCTATGAGACAAAATAATTTGCAGAGTATTGGACAGAGGATGGCTTGATGTATGACGGCCGCTATACGGTACCAAGGCCCGTCGAATGGATCGAGAATGGCTGGACACAACATGTGGTTGAGGTTCACTTGAGCTGGCTAAAACAAAAAGGCAAATACGTTTCGGCTTAATAATGAGGCACTCGATCGTATGTAATTGTGTGTATGTAACGCAATATTTTTCCGAATAACGATTTCTGAATTAACAACTTTACACACCAATTGGTGTTATAATTTAATTTAAATAAATCTTTTTAATTAAAAAATAAGGTATTTATTAACATTTTGATAAATATCCCACTATTGATAAAATAGAATAAAAGTACAGAATTATGATCACCATATATTGCTGTGTTGCACATCAGTTATGCACTGCTTATTGTTGTGGACATTGTGGGTTTAATCCCAAGCAAAAGTGCTATGCCAAAAGGTTAAATATATTCAAAAGTAATATTTTCAAAATATTACATCAAATACTACATTACACCAGAATTTAACACTTACTATGGCTATCACTTGCAGTATAATGAAATGATACAAAAGATTTAGGCAGTAACTAAAAATAGCCCAATTAAAGTCCCAAAAAGGCTCTACATTATATACACCTGAAAAAACAAGAAAAGTTAAATATGATATGTATATTTTCCTATTTTGTGATTTCATTGGAGACATACCACCAATTCTTAGTAGATAGTATGGTATCACAAACATCATTCCATGCTGTATCCAATATAGTGCAGCTTCTGCTAAAATCTGATAAAAAAATGTAAATATTTAATTTAAATCTTGACCAAAAGATATTTACAAGTACCAACAGATAATTTTGATAGTTTTTAGATAATACTTAGTACTTAGATGAATTTAAAATTGTAATAAAATGTGTACCTATGCTTATTAAATTGTTTAATATTGGTATCAAAGTAATATATATATTCAAGAAAATTAAATATGATATTGGTTGCAAGTCTCACTATGAGTATCTCCGACTGCATATACTTTTTTTTTGTTTACATGTGCACTTTGTTTTTTAGTTTGCTTTTTACGCAGCCGTTTTTTTTATTTTTCGTTTATTTTTTTATTTGAAGGTTTTTCTACAGTTGGAGTTTTATGTAACAGATCGACTCAAATCTTCATTTTGTTACCCAACTCGAGCAACCCAACTGATAGGAGTTTGAAATTTGGAGAGGATATTATTTTGATATTTAGCTTTAAAATAAAATATAAAATAATACATATATCAAGGTTTTTCGAAATTCATCCCTTGAGATCCAAGGGTAAAAAGGGTAATCAGAATTACTTGAAACTTATTATTAAGGCTCTTTAATATAATTAAATAAACACGAGTTTGAGAATTTGTCAAAATTTAGTTCCTAAAGGGGTAAAGCAGGGTAGTAAAATTGGTACAAAGATTTTTCTTGTTGTTGCGTTGAATCTGAATTTTGAAGATGTGTGCAGAGATATTTCTCATGCTCATTTTAAATTGCTCATATTAAAAAAATATAAAATATTACAAATATATATGGGAAACGGAATCAATTGTGTCTTGGTCCTTTAAACACACCAGCACCATAGCATAATCCATACTAATATCATAAATGTGAAAGTGTGTTTGTTTGTCTAATCTCCATGGGAAAACACGTTCAACAACTCATCATACCTATCTATACTAAAATTATAAAGAGTTAAAATTTGTAAGATTGTAGGAGGTAATCTTTGAATCTACTGAACTGATTTAGATGAAATTTAGTAAGAAGATAGTTTGAGACCCTGGAAAGGATATAGATATGAAGAATGGATATTTTATTCCAGAAATCATTCCCTTAAGGGGGTGAAAATGGGGATGAAAGTTTGTATGGGGAACCAACCTAGGGACGAACACGAGCGAAGCGAGTGTGAGTCACTAGTATAATATATAGATTATTTATTCCATACTAACCATTAAAAAAGCACAGAGAGGGTGGGCCACTAGTATATTATACAATATAAAAACTATTATCTAATATGATTTTGAACAATTCTTAAATATCTGGATTTTCTTAGTCTTACCAAAAAAATATCTTATCAAAAACCTATACCTAAATAATGTTTAAATGTTGAATTAGAAAATATGAATTTTCTTTACTTATTCTATAATATCTAAATTATATACTAACTGTTCTTGAGGCTGTCTCGGGAAATAAAAATGCTAATAAAGGGCCATTCAATAAGTTTAAATGAATGCGAAATAATGCTGTTACAGTTTTACTGGGTGGAGCAGCAAGTAAATATATCTGAAATAAAATACCTTTGTAAGAAATATTGAATTATCATAAAGTTAAAAGTGATGTTGTTTTATACATATAAAATTAAGGTTTGAAATATCAGACACACTATATGACTATTTATTCCTCTTAGATTTCATACACTTATTAATAAAACATATATATGTAGGAGTAGTTCACAATGCTATAATATTAACAAACCTCCAGGTTTTTGGATGTGATTGGGGTCAGATGAATATTTTATAATGAACTCAGTAGTTCAGGGTTCTTAACACTTTCAATTCAATTCTGCCAAGTGTAATAAGACTTTATTATTTTTATATAATACTAATATAACAATGAGATAAAGTTTGTGAGTTTGTGACGTTGTAAGGGGTAATCTCTGAATCTAATGAACCGATTTAGATGAAATTTGGTAAGAAGATAGTTGGAGACCCTGGGAAGGACATAGGATACTTTTTATTCCGGAAATCATCCCTTAAGGGATGAAAGTTTGTATGGGGAATTAAGCTAGGCATGAACCCGAGGATGGCAAGGGTTAGTCGCAAGTATTTTTATAAACTATTATGTACTTATTATATTTCTACTAAGACAGTCTATAAAAATATAGTATAATAAAATTTGATTGCAATATTAGTTATTTCATTTACAGGATCAAATTATTAATGAGTGCATACTTACTTGAATTAAAGTTGTGACATGACAGGGGTTTAACAAATATATAACAGTTCGTGATGCGAATTTGAAACCAATTTCCATTCCCCACAAAAGGGCTAGAAGAATAACTAGTAATCTTTTTCCACCTCTGTCACTTTTCATGTATGTCTTTTCTTGAGAAATTTGCAATTTTGGAAATGTCTTGATCTTAAAAAGAGGCAATGTAACACAGTAACATGAAATATTTTAAAAAATAATTAAAAAAATATTATTACATACAAATATAGGACTACAATAATAAAATAATAAGGGATTTTAAAATGAATTTTATGTTCAAAATAACAATACTTACAATTACATATACGCAGACCGTAATTACTATTAATGTTTCGATTAATTGTCTTTGAGGTGATAAAAAATATGCACATTCAGGGCCGACATTTCGAGGTACAGCCTTGTTAGCACCACTATAAGCCCATTCAAACATTGCAACAATTTTTTAATCTACTAATAATAAATAAAATAAATTTCTCACTATAATATATAGATTTTTTAAATAATTCACTTCCTTTTCGTTTCCCGCTAATTGACAGTAAAGTGGAGTATTGCCATTATATCAAAATATCTTAATAGTAATATATAAACTTTGCCAGAGATTCAAAATCGATATTGTGATTTTATTTTAATTAAAAAGAATCTAACCATTTTATTTAAAATAAATGGAAAGGAAAATTAAGAAAGGGAAAGACAGTTAGTAGTAGAAAAAGTAATAATGCAAAGTTCGTAGTCCAAATTCCATAGCTAAATTTAAGAGGTCAAACCGGCACTCCTTTAGAAAATAATAGAAATAAATAAAAGAAATAGCTAAATTTTATCTATTTCTATTTTCTAATCGTATTCTATTGACTTGAAACTTTGCAAGTGTTTCTGTTTCCGTTGATCGTGCAGTAGTATCGTCGACCTGATCTGATTGTAAGGCCAGAAGATGGATAGGTGGAACTCTTCAATGGCTAATAGTAGGTACTTTGAGTTTGGGCTTATTTTGTTTGATTTCACAAGCCCATTACGTTAGAATAACATTTTAGGTTATGACGTTAGTTAGGATTGATATATGGACATATAGCATTCTTAAAATACGATAAACTAGTTGTCAAAGGAGAAGTTGCGACTCGAGATAAAAGGAAGAGAGACCAATCTGCATCACCAAAAATAGCCAAAGAAAGCGTCCGTCCAAAAATTAATAAAGTAAATGCATTCGAACGAATGTACAAAAATAGGTCTCACTCAACATCAGATTTAAATAAAGAATAGCCATTAACACACGTTGGTAACCGGAAGTTCAGAACAAATAAGCAATTAACATTTAACGACACAACTAAAACCAATACACCTCCCCCAAGCCGGCTGGTCCCCGTGGGGGATTTCGACCAATCCCTTCCAGCACAATTGACAAGAAAAAACAACACTAGTATCAAAACGAAACAAAAAAGTAAACTGTATATAGCCACCTTAAACTGCTTAACCTTGCGTACTGAAGAGAGACTAACTGAATTAGAACTAGCACTCTCAAATATAAAATGGGATGTTTTAGGACTAAGTGAAGTTAGAAGATTAGGAGAAAGTATTGAGGACCGCAAGGAGTACATTTTATATTATAAAGGCGAAACAAAAGGAAACTATGGAGTGGGCTTCATGATTAAAAAACATTTAGAAAGAAACATAGAAGAATTCAAGGGAATTTCAGACAGAATAGCGGTATTTAATCTGAATCTGCCGTCGTACAAAAACAAATGGTCAATTATCCAAATTTACGCCCCCACAGAACAGTACGAGGAATCTGCCAAAGACCTCTTTTATGAACAACTAACATCAGTTCTACAGCAATCGCACAAGAACCTTATGCTGATAGGAGATTTTAATGGCAGAATTGGTTCCCAACAAACTGGAGAAGAAAATACAATTGGAAAATTTGGTTTTGGCAGAAGAAGCAACAATGGCAAAAGAATGATCAATATGGCCTTAGAAAACAATATTGCATTTATGAATAGCTTTTTCAATAAAAATACAAAGAAAAAATGGACATGGCTATCACCAGATGGGTCATATAGAAATGAAATAGACTATATAGCAACGAACAATAGAAAAGCTTTTTATGATGTAAGTGTCATTAAACAATTGAATTTTAACACTAACCATAGAATGGTTAGAGCAACAATAATTGGTTCAGAGCCGAAAAAAGCCAGAAATAAATTTAATACAATAAAGAATATCAGTAGACACCTGAATGAAACAAAAAATGAAATAGACGAAAACTACGAAAAAGGAATAAACGAAATATATGGACCACTATACACTCAATTGGCGAAACCTAAGACAAGTAACACGGAAAATGAAACCAAAACCCTCATAGAAGAAAGAAGACAGCTTTTAAATAATAAAAAAGATAAAAACAATTTAAGGGCTATAACAGAAGTAAGTAAAAAAATAAGTAAAAGTATTAATAAGGACAGAGCAAAAAGAAGATTGGACGTACTCAACACTCACATAAAAAAGACAGGAGGAGTTAAAAAAGCTTTAAAAGAACTGGTTGAGTCAAAACAATGGATAACAAACATCAAGAATAAAGCAGGAAAGCAAGAGACTATGAGAAGAACTATGATACAGATTGCAACCGACTTTTACAGGACACTTTACGCAGCAGAACCCAACGCTCAGAATCCAACTACAATTCTAGAAGACGACGAAATTGAGGATATTCCAGTTTTTATGCAATCAGAAATAAAAAAAGCTGTAGACAGTCTAAAGAGCGATAAGTCACCTGGGCGAGATCAAATAACAAACGAGATGATAAAAACTTCAATCAATACACCTGAAAACCTAAGAAAACTCACAGAAATATATAATACTATCTTAAGAACGGAATCTATAATACCATCTCAGTGGAAAAAGAGCACAATTATACTTCTACATAAGAAAGGGGATCGAGACAACATCGAAAATTATAGACCAATTAGTTTGTTATCAAATATATACAAAGTTTTCTCTAAATTGATTTTAAATAGAATAACATGGATAATGGACGAACAACAACCAATCGAACAAGCTGGCTTCAGAGCGGGATTCTCGACCATCGATCATATACATGTATTAAAACAGTTATTGGAAAAATCCCAAGAATATAATAAAGCACTGTATATTGCACTGGTGGATTACAGTAAGGCATTCGATTCCGTTAAGCATGAGTCGCTCTGGAAGGCTTTAACCCAACAAGGAATTCCCAAGAAATACATACGCATAATTAAAAACATATACATGAACAGCACGGCACAAATAAAACTAGAAACAACCGGCGAAGAGTTTCCTATAGCAAAAGGAGTAAGACAAGGAGACCCCTTGTCCCCAAAACTTTTCTCTGCCATCCTAGAAAGTATATTTAGGAACATAGAGTGGAAAAACGTTGGTATAAATATTAACGGGGTACATCTCAACCATTTAAGGTTCGCAGATGATCTAGTCTTAATCACTGACAGCGCTAGTACATTGCAACTTATGTTACAACAGTTAGCAGAAGCAAGTAGAACAGTAGGGCTTACCATGAATAATCTAAGACAAAAAGTAATGACAAACAGAGAGAAATAGCCATAACAGTAGAGGACGAAAGCATTGAATACGTAAAAACTACACATACCTGGGACAGTTAATATCATTCAGAGACCAAAACTGACTTGGAAATCGAAAGAAGAGTAGCTTGTGCATGGAAAAGATATTGGTCACTCAAGGAGATACTTAAAAGCAAATATTTTTCAATGGCAGCTAAGAGAAAAGTGCTCAACTCTTGTGTCTTACCTTGCCTGACGTACGGAAGCCAAACGTGGGCACTAAATCAAAAACATCTTTTAAAACTGAGATCATGCCAACGGGGAATGGAGAGAAGCATGATAGGTGTCACTAAAAATGATCGGTTAAGAGCTGATGAAATACGTTCCAGAACCAAAATAGAAGATATAATAAAGAAAGTAAGACAGTTGAAGTGGAGATGGACAGGGCACATGATGAGAGATAGCAAGATAAAATGGACAAAAATTATAACAGAGTGGCAACCACGCGATGGAAAAAGGAAAAGAGGAAGACAGGCAAAGAGATGGATAGATGACTTAAGAAAAATTGGAGGCGAAACATGGCCTAGAAAAGCAAGAGACAGAAATGAGTGGAAGCAGCTGGAAGAGGCCTATGTGTCACAGGACACGCTGATAACTAAACCGGAAAACCAAACGTGTTAGATTTAAGTTAGTTTTTTTTTACATTTATATTATTAGATTATATTTGTGTTTAGTTCTTCAGCAATAAAGGCTTAATAATAATAATAAGTGTAAGATTTCATCGTTTTCCTTAAATGTAACATACAATTTTCGTTCGAGACATTTCATCCTTACCATAGACACTAGGCATGGAACATTTCACGAGTAGCAAGTGAAAAATCACGTGAAATGCGTTATCATACGTCACACCTGCTACTGAAATTCATAGTGACTGCTACAAATCACAACTTGGTGAAATCTAGAGCTGTAGCAAACCGTATGTATTCGTTACTGAGTAACGGGTACGCCATCTAGTACCGAGTACCGAAACGTTACTCACGAATGCATTTCGTTACTCGCATTTTCCGTATACATTTTCGTACTGATGTTTTTATTGATTTTTTATTCAACAAAATACAATTTTCAGTTAATACCGTTGATCAGTAAATTGGGAAGTTTATTTATTTCGAGTTGCATGATTTCGGATTCTTAGAAATATTGTTTAGAAATAATTTTAAATTAGAAACAACAATTAAATTTAGAGCACATTTTTAGTTTTTTATCCAACAAATACTTATAATTTTTACTGAATGATTATGTGTAATACGTACAGATTATGATTTAATAAATCATTCGCGCAATTGATTTTAAAATATAATATATGCATTACGACGTCACACTAACGTGAAAGATGGCGTTACTTTTCATTTTTAAATTACCTATTTTTTATTTATTATTTAATTTCAAAATTTATTCATAAAAAAATATTGTTAGTAAAGTTTTTAAAAATTATAAAGATTTATAAATAATTAAAATTTCTGGGTTCTAGATATCCTGTAACTCTCCAATTGAAATGGTTTTGCTGATCGTGCATTATTCCACAGAAAACAACGCGTCGTCAAGTGTCAACGTTTATACCGTACCGAGAAAAATATATGTTGCTGATGCGTTATTTTAAGAATTCTGGGCGCTATTTTTGGATAACATAGTAGGCAAATAAGCAAGCAAACCTCTTAAGATATTGAAACAATATCTATATGGGGCAAATAGACAAAACCATTACTGCAATTACGCCTACAGTCGACGACATAAACCACCAACGCTGAGAACGAGCTAGAAATGTTTATTAATGAACCAGTGCTTCCGCGCGATTCTTCGCCATTAGTTTGGTGGAAATCTCACTCCTATA